GTGTTGACCCGTCTCCCTTCCCCCGGCTCTCTCCACTCCCACTGGAGGCCCCGGCCATCCGTTCCTGATGGGACACATCCCAGCCCCTTTCCTAGCAAGGGAGGCTTCTCACGGATGGACGGACGGACAGACAAGCACTGCTTCCCTCCCCATTGTTTCTTCTGAGGAGGTGCCATTTGTGCTGCCCTGTGAACTTATTTCCCACGTGGAGCAAGTCCCCGTTTCAGATGAGTGCCTTCTTGTCCTAGTGAAGGGTGTGCGCTCCCTGCTCCGGGAGCTCGTGGCTGCCAAAAGCAGAAGGAACCGGTCAACGGGCGGAAGCAGACAGGGACCGGCTGCCCGTTAAACAGAGCACGCTTCCCATCCAGCTACCTGGTATGAATTGAATGCTGGCCCCACCACTGGCTATGCCACCCTGCATGCCTCATTGTCATGACCTGTGCTAAGGGGCTACAGGCAATCGTGGGTCTTGTCAATGAGGGACCTTGTTGATGAAGGAGCCCTAGTGGTCTAATGGACGACATATTGGGCTGCTGCCGGCCAAGGTGGGCAATCAAACCCACCAGCCGCTCCACTGGAGAAAGATGAGGCTTGGCAGACCTAGTGGTTACAAGTTGGGCTGCTAACCGCAAGGTCAGCAGTTCAAAACCACCAAACGAGGCTTTCTCCTCCCATAGTGTTACGATCTTGGAAGCCCACAGGGGTCGTTCTGCCCCGTCCACAGGGTCACTCAAGGTCAGAATGAACTCGATGGCCATGAGTTTGTTTTGGTACTATACTCAGTCTCAGAAAGTTTCAGAGGGCGCTCTACCGTGTACTAGCTGTAATTGACTCGATGTGTGTTTGGACCTCAGGGACTTGCTGTGTGGATTCCATGAGTTTAAGCAAACTGCTTGGGTTCTTCCTTCCGTCTCTTGACTTCCAGAAGCATCCTATTTGTCCTTCTCCTTGGTCCACTCTGCCTCAAATGGCCCAGCCCATGTTTTTACTTTCGCCCCTTGGTGTCTGCCAGGTCTTTCTTCTGGGTGCCAGGATGCACACCCATCAACTACTGGTGGACATCTCCACCCAGATGTTTCCTTAGAAATGTTCCCCACGGCCACTGAGTCAATTCCAATGCATGGCGACCCCACAGGGCTGCTCCAGAGGGTTTCTGAGAGTAAGCTCTTCGTGGGACCAGAGCCTAGGCTTTCTCCTGCAGAGCGACTGCTGGGTTTTCAGCCCCTGGCTTGTGGTCAGCAGCCGACACAGGCACCTCACCCTCGGCCAGTCCAAACCTGAGCCAGCCACTTGCCTTCCCCCTAAACTACCCTTGTTTGACTGTCGCCAGTCACCCAGCTGCTTAAAACAGAGGCTGCAGGGCTTCAACACCATCTTCTTCCTTACAACCAGCCACTCAATTTTTTTAAAAAATCATTTTATTGGGGGCTCATACAACTCTTATCACAATCCATACATACATTGTGTCAAGCATATTTATACATTTGTTGCCCTCATTCTCAAAACATTTGCTTTCTACTTGAACCCTTGGTACCAGCTCATTTCCCCCCTCCCATCTTTCCCCCCCCCGGGACCCCTTGATAATTTATAAATTATTTTGTCATGTCTTACACTGTCTGACGTCTCCCTTCACTCACTTTTCTGTTGTCCATTCTCCAGGGAGGGGGCTAATATGTAGATCCTTGTAATCGCTTCCCGCTTTCCACCTAACCTTCCCTCCACCCTCCTGGTATTGCCACTCTCACCATTGGTCCTGAGGGGTTTATCTGTCCAGGAGTCCCTGTGTTTCCAGTTCCTATCTGTACCAGTGTAAAGTCTCTGGTCTAGCCAGATTTGTAAGGTAGAATTGGGATCATGATAGTGGATGGGGGTGGGGAAGAAGCATTTAGGAACTAGAGGAAAGTTGAATGTTTCATCGTTGCTACACTGCACCTTCACTGGCTCATCTCCTCCCTGCAACGCTTCTGTAAGGGGATGTCCAATTGTCTACAGATGGACTTTGGGTCCCCTTTCTGCACTCCCCCTCATTCGCAGTGATATGATTTTTTGTTCTTTGCTGCCGGATACCTGATCCCTTCGACACCTCGTGATCACACAGGCTGGTGTGCTTCTTCCACATGGGCAGCCATTCCATCTTACTGATTCAACCTTCACATGGACCTTTGAACTCCCTAACTTTTCTCCATGCCTGCTGCCATCATCCTCAGGGTTAACCTTCACTGCCCCTCACTTAGACCAACAACCTCTTCCTCACACGGTCGTTAGGGACAGGACAGGAGCTTCCCTGAGAATCCATTCTCCAAGGAAAAAAAAAAAAAAAAAAGACCCAACCAAGTCTCCGTTACTTAAAACAAAGGCACTTTCTGATTGGAGTGAAGGGCAAACTTCCCCACTCAGCTTGTGAGGCCCACCAACATCTCGCAGCCCCTGCCCACCTTTCCAGGCGTACCCCAAAGTGCTTGCCCTGAGTGAGACGCCTTTTAGTTTCTATCTTTGGACCTACATATGCAGGTGCCCCTGACCTGCCCCTTAGCCTGGCCTTACTGGTTCTTGCACAGCTCAGATGAGGTGCCATCTCACCACAAAGGTGTCTCCTGCCTCCCACCGCAGCACTTCCCATCATAACCACCACTGTTATGTTATTATTGCCCCAGCACTTTCTCAGCACGTTGGAAACCCAGTGCAACACTTTTGTCTCGTTCACCACTGAATCCCAGCTCTGAGGAGTGCTCAGCACCCTGAGGACACTCAGAGACAGAACCGTCTCTTCGAAACTGAGTGTGGTGATGACTGCACAAGTCAGGATGGCTGAGCCATGAGACTGTGTGACGGGTGACCTAGATGCCGATAACATGATGAAACTGCAAGGCAGCACTGTGGTTTGGAGGTGCCGGTTCGTTATGGCTCAGAGTGCTCCATGCACCGCCCGCTCCTGCGCCATCTGTTCCATCTTTCCTGTGGAGCCCACTGTTGGGGCCACTGTGCCAATTCATCTCACTGCAGCTTCCCCTCTTCTCTGCCGACCCCTCCCTCCCTCACCAAGCAAGTTATCCTGTTCCGGAGACTAACGTCCAGATCACGGGAGACGAAGCTTCACCACCTTTGCTTCTAAGCAGCATTCTGGTCACACCTTTTCCAAGGGTTGTTCCTTCTTCTGACAGCCCCTGGTGCTGGCAATATTCCTCACCAACACACCCATTCCTCCCAGTCTGTGCCCAGCGGTCACACCCACAGGACGTGCCTGAGAACGGCATGGCTTGAGGCAACCCATTCCCTGGGTGTTTCCATCGAACTCTCCCGACAGACCAGCCGCCGGCCGGCCTTCTCCATCCCGGGGAGATGGCGCTTCATGCGCCCAGGCCCCCAACCCACGAGCTCTTCCCAAGCTAGGGTTTTGGCAGAAAAGTTTCTGGAAGGATCACATCTCCCACACAACTACCTTCTTAAGAACTTTTTTTTAATTATTTAGAAATGCAGTTATATACATAGAACAATTAAAATTAAATTAAACTTTGTACAAATATTAAAATACTATCTTCACACCCACTGCAATGTACAGGATACCAGAAAATATATAAAATAAAATAAAGCACACTCAAACGGATCTGAGTTACATCCCGCACAGTCAATTATGCATGTGTTCTTTTAAACCATGAGCTAGGAGTACCATTCTGCAAAGGGGGCCACAGTGGTGCTATGGAGAGAAACCAGGGCAGGGGTGGTGGCCCGCTCACCTCATCCCCCTGCTCCGCGTCCACCATGGGACTTTTGTTCAACATTCCACTCGGTCTCCAACGGGAAATTCAGAGGCGGTGCTTCCCAGCAAAGCTGGGCCTGCTGCCTCTCCCTCTCTGGGGAACCAGCTACTGAATCACTCTGCCCCAGCACCTGCCCCGGAAAACAGACTCCAAGCCCCTCACTGGGGCTCTGGGAACACGGTCCCTTTGCCCCGAGCCCGGAGACCCAGCAGGCCCCGCTGCTCCTAGCCTCACTGTCCTTGGCAAGCACATCTGGAACTAAGCAGTGTGGAGGGTCTGCCGGTCACTTTCTGGACCCTTTCTTTCCTTTTGGGGCAGTTGGGGTGGGAGGAGGGTGTAGAACTGTCTGTAGCATATTCCATTCTCTATGTGAGGATGTGTCCCAGGAATGGAGGTGGCACGGCTATGTTGGAAGTGTTATCAGCGCTCAGCAGGGAGTGGAGCGGAAGACAAGGCGGGTGCTGTGGAGCCGGTACTACCACTCACGAAGCAGGAAGAGTATACCTTTGTCTTGCCACCCGGTGGTGTCCCCACGGGACCTTAAAGCTGGGGGATGGGGGGAGAGGGGGCATGATTGATGAACGGGAAGACATGGTTAGTGTAGGTTTGGTGGCGAGCTGGAGTGCTTGTACAGTGTACATTGAAATGTCTTATAAAACTCACGGTGGCCAGGACGCCACCATCTCCCAGGGACGTCGAAGATGGGAGCGTAGCACACAGAGCACAGGCACAGGGAGGTAGGGCCAACCTGCTACGCTAAGGCATTGGGGGTACGGATACTGGTCCTTGAAAGTATCTAAAGGTGGCCATAGGCCACCAGGCTATAAAATCTGCAGAGTCACCGCAAGTGTGCAAAACAGCTCTCGGGAGGTCCTTTGGTGCTGACCACGTTCCCTGGACCAGGGCTTCTGCAGGTTACCCACCCCGGCCTGCCTGGGGAAGCTGGGCTGTGGCCAGTGCTTGTCCTACCTTGCCCGCCCGGGATCTGGGTGGCCTCCATCCCAAGACGCCCATCACCTGCCTTTGTCCCTGTCCACACACACCACAAAGCGGTCGCTGAACCCCTCATGCCCCCGTGGGGGGCCCAAGCCCAGAAGCCACCAGTCGCAGCACATGGCAAACAAGCTATTTGGGGAAACTGTCTGAGACGTCAACAGCAACGGGGGTCTCAGCTCCGGCTGCCACAGGCATGGGACTCCTCGCTGAGGTGGGGCTCATCAAAGCCAGCATGAAAGGAAGGACACCCCCGTCCCCACCCGCCCGCCTAGGGTCTGCTTGTTCTCTTTCCCACCAGATAGGCAAGCCTGGGCTTGTCCTCCCCACGGCGGCCCCCAGGACGGCGGGAGCAGACGTGAAGTGGGAGGCCAGTGTCCAGAGCAGGCAGGCAGAATGAACCCCAAAGGAAAGTGCAACCTTTTACATGGGGGAGCAGATGGGGGGGTGTCTCCAGAGTAGCAGGATGGAAAGGGGTAAGATTTTCCATTTTGAAAAATGTCTATCTTGGGTGGGGGTTGTGAAAGTTTGGAGAATAAAGGCTGACGGCTCAGCCACAAGACTCAAGAGGCTCTCCCTCATCCCTGCGTCGGTCCTGCTGTTTGGGGAAGACGGGCCCTGTGAGCACAGAGCAGTGAGTGGCGGGGCAGCGGGCTGTGGGGGACCCCATCTTTCAGACGGGCCCAGCGCCAGCACCTGCTGGCAGGTACACCCCTGGCAATGGTCTCTCCCACCAGTGGGTCCCATCTCCCCTGGCCGGGCTGCTGCATTCTAGCACCTTCTCCAGCCTGGGCTTAGAGTGCAGCCTGGTGTGTGGAAGGGGGCAGCAGGGCGGCAGGCGCTGCCCTCACCCTGAGGGAGGAAGACTGCACGGGGGTCCTAAAGTGCATGTATGAGTGTGGAGGCAGGTAAGAGGCTGGCTGACAGAGGGCCAGCCCCCATGTTCAAGGCCACCCATGCCTGGGGCGAACCCTGGCAGGTCAGATGTTGACTTTATCCTGGGAGTTTTCATGATTTTTGCCATCCCAAACACAGGAGGCTCTTGGGGGGTGGGGGTGGAATGAGGTGCAGCACTGGGTCAGTTTCTATGTTTTAGGCCCTGATGTTTGGGGAAACACCAAAGGGAAAATCATCACTCCAGGGCAGAGCAGCCTGGGGACGCTCCTCCCCCACCCGCAGAGTGAAGGGAGGGGCTCTTCCCAGGGGGCTGTGCCCCAAACCTTGGTCGACAAGTGTTGGGCTCAGGCCACTTCACAACCACTCACCCATCTCAGGCCAGCCAGGTTGGGCGGAGTGCTGCTGGGAGGTCAGTCCTCAGTTCTCCACCGGGGAGGGGGAGGGGGGGAAGAGCACAGGAGGGAGTCACCCATCAGCTGAGACATGGGGTGGGTGAGCAGGACCGGGCGGCAGGAGCAGGAGAAGCAGCGGTGCAGCAGGCGGCAGCCTCTTTCTGGGCACAGTTACTAAGGCACGTGACTGTGGTGAGGATGAGCCTCAGGACAGGTGTGGAGCTGCGAGCAGCCACCCAAGACACGCTGTGTGCCTCTCAGGCTCCCCTCCCTCACCACGGACCCACGAAGGGGCAACCTGCCCAAGCTGCTAGGGGCCAGGGCATTCCCTGGCATCTCAGCCACTCTCCCCCCTGCCCCCTGGGGATGGCACGCCTTGGCCTCTGTGAGGAGCTGGGCTGCCAGCAGTGCCTGGGAGAAAGCCCAGAAGGCGGAGCGCGGGCAGCTTCCCCTTCCCCTCCAAGGGACCGGCCAATCAAACAAACAAACAAACAAAAGGCTAAGAAGGTTGATGCTGGAAGTAGCAGTAAGACTTTGCATATTAGGAAGACGAGCATTATCAGCCACCTTCCGCCCCTCCCCTGGCATCTTCTAGGTACTACTCACAAACCCTCGGCCCGGCAGGACCAGAAGCCTGGGCCTCGGAGCCGGATCGCTGGGGACTAGGAGGAGGTTGCCCTGGTTTTTCAAGCCCTCCGTTCTGGGCCAAGGAGCTACTGCACAGTATCATGCCAGGGGCCCACAGTGCTTGCCCTGACCAACTGCCCGATCAGACCCACTGGGTTCCAGACTCCTGCCTCAGGTCTGCTCCTACCGGGAGAGCAGTGCTGTCCTTCTCCTCAGAGGAAACGGGCCGGCCTCTGGCCCAGCCTCCCACATGGCCGGGGGCAGCAGTGTGGCCACCAACAAGCCTGGTGACAGGGACACTGCACGGGTGGTGGGGAAGGCACAAGTAAACACAGCGGCACTCAGGCCCAGGTGAGCTGGGGGGGGTGCTGCCACCAGGGGACCCAGGAGACTCAGGGACGTGACGGGTTCAATCCAGCACATCCAGATCTGCCCCCGACACAGATGGGAGGGCAGGGCCGGGTAGAGGGCCAGCTCCTCCAGCTGTCCAGCAGACAGACGGTGAGGCTCTTCCTGGAGTTTCCAGCTGGGAGGGCCGAGGCCCCAGCGATACAGACACACAGGTGGCAGTTCAGGTGTCCAGCAAGGTGGCCGGGAGCACAGCGTGCTCAGACTCAGGGCGAGGGAGACAGGCAGACGTGGCGGAGAGTGGCTGGCAGCAGCCCTCATGCTTCTTTCAACAGCGGAATATCTGCAGGGACAGAGCACAGCAGTCACCCCACATGGCCCGCCCACTGTGGGGCTCCAGGCAGCACACCCCTGCCCCACCGGACAGACTAAGATGTCATGCTCACATTCACTTCCGGGGGACTGAAGCCCCCTCCCCTCTCCAGGCCTTCCTCAGTCCTCTCTCCCACTGCCTGCACGTGTGAGTCTGGTGCTCAGCCTGGTAGGTCCACCTGGCCACAAAGGCCTGCCCACTCCCCACTGTTTCCTCAAAGCTGCCAGCTGCATGACCTTGAATAAATCACCTCCCCTCTTGGGTCCCAGTTCCCACTCGGTCAAGGGCTCCTGCCTCCCTGTGGCTCTTTTGGTTCCAGCCAGCTCACACCTGGCCTGCAGTGAGCACAATTTTCTGACAACCAACGTGCCCTGTTCTCTGAACCCCTCACAATGATACAGAGGCTGCAATTCTTGGTTCAGTTTCTCAACTGCTCGCCCCATCTTCCCAACAGACTGACACTCCATGCAGGTTTCTACACAATCCAAGCCAGCAGCACACGCAAGCTGGCTCTCCAGACAGCTTGCTGGACACCCAGAACAAAGTGCAGCGCAGGGAGACAGGCGGGGTAGGGCCGTCTAGCCTCTTGAGGGAGGACAGAGGCTGCACCTGGTGTGGCTGGCAGTCCAGGGGCTCAATGGCTTCCACATGGAAACCTGGGTCAACTCTTAAATGGGTCCTTCCTATTGTTACCAGAGGAGTCACAAGGTCGGCAGTGTGGAATCACCTGCCGCTCCTCCGGAGAAAGACGAGACTTTCTACTCCCATGCAGAGTGACGGTCTCACACAGCCACAGGGGCAATTCTACCCTGTCGTATAGGGCTGCTGTGAGCCAGCATGGGCTCGGCGGCACTGCTTGGGTGGGGACCGTGAAGAATGCACGAGTCCTCGGAGGCAAAGGAAGCACGTGGATGTATTTCACTGGACCACACTGGGACTCCCAGGAGGCGGAGGTGCACCTGAGAGCGCGACACCATCTCAAAGCCAGGCTCCCCAGGCTCCAGCAAGGTCTATGGCTTTTTGTCACAGGAGGGCCAGAGTCCCCACGCTGCAGGGATATCAACACAGGCCTCGGAGCCAGAGCTGTCTGGCTTCACAGCCGGCTCCCCTTTGTGACGTACCGTGAGTCTGTCTCCTTATGGGTCATGGTCTCTGACTCCTACAACTCAAAGCCCTACCCTCACTGTCTCCCCTGAAAGAGCCCAGGCCCTCTCCTCTGTAACATGGTCCAAGCCTCTTGTCGCTCCTGACCTTTCAGGAACAAGAAACACTGACAAGACGGCAAGCATCCCGAACCAGCAGTCCACCCTTTGAGTGCAGCCTGGGGCCACCAACAGTCTCTGAGACTCCAGAATTTCAAAATACACCTCCCTAGATCAGCCCACAGCCCTCCCTGAGCCTGGAGGGGGGAATCCTATTGTGTGGGGAAAGCACAAGACCATCTCCTGCGACAGATGCCATTTTCTCTCTGCCTCAGTGGAGGGTCATTATCAGAGAGGCCCCCAAACCCTTCTTGCTGGCACCACGGACCCCAAGCAGCTCCTAATTCCTGACCGTTGCAGACCACCTACCATCTGTGTACTCCTCCGATGTGAGGGATAAAAGGCTTTGTATGTCGCTGTTCTCAGAATCTGGGGCTTCTTTGTGGCCCGGGCGGCTGTACCCTGAGCCGGCCACCCAGGAGGAGCTGGTCGCCTGATGTACCATCACAGTTTCAGAGCCCCGAGAGCCCCAGGCTTCACACAGTCCCGAGTGGCCCGGGGCCTCGTCCTCTCCGCCGCCGGCAGAGGAGCAGGCCCCAGGGTCCTGCAGCGGCTGCTCCCTGGGCACGCTCCTCTCACTCGGCCCTGCCCCCTCGGACAGCACGATCTGCACTCGGGGGTCAGCGGGCGGCACACAGTGACCGGAGCTGCCATACACGGCCTCTTCATACGACGGCAGTGCCACCTGGACGCCATCCACCATAATGGACACCTGGTCCCCAGACACCCCCTGGTCACGCCTGCGTCAGAGAAGAAGACAGAGGAGTGGATGTCAGTGCACAAGAATGAACCACGCGCGAAGGGGTCTACCCTAACCCATCCCTCCCCTGAGAAGCTAAGTAACTGTACCAATGGGCACCCAGCCTCAAGGGGTAGAGCTGGGTCTCAACCATCTCCAGAGAGAGACGGTGGGCTCAACCTCTGGGCAGGGGGCACCTGGTTTTTAGTAAAACCAGGAACCTCAAGCCCAGAAATCAAACTGCTCCTGCAGCCCAGCGGCGGGCAGTGAGAGAGGGGCAGGTGCTGCTGTCTAAGGCGAGAATGTGCACTGCCAGTCGACAGGTGCTCTTCTGACTCGGCCACGATGCTGGCCTTTTTTAAACACGTGTAAACCCTAAGTAAATTGTAAGAACGACAGGAAAGAGCAGAGAAACGGGCACAGCTCACAGTTAGCCCTGGGGTAACATGGCCGCCCAGCTCAAGACAGGACACACCAGCAACCAGGGCACCCTATCCTTCCCACGGCTTCTCGTTCTCACACCGCCACGTCCCCGCAGCCCACCTTCATGGGCATCCTTCTGCGCTTTTCATTTTACTGTGTCACTGCCTACTTAGGAGTTTCAGTGGAGTTCCGAAGGCTTTTTATCTTTATGCGAATGGGGCCTCTAGCAAACGTGAGTGTGTGTGTGTGTGTGTGTGTGTGTGTGTGTGTGTTTCTCTCTCTCTCTGGGCTCAACGCTGTGAAATTCACTCCTGCAGCCAGCCTTTCAGATGACTAGCATGCGTTATACACATGCATACCCGCACCTGCTTTTCTCTGAACTGTTTCAAAGCACGGTGAAGAAATTGCCTCACCAGGGAGACCCTTCCCTTATCACAACAGAGAAATGCCCCGCTGGCTTAATCATGCTGAGACATTTCCCACCTGTCAGCTGTGGGCTCTGCCTCCATTCAGGGCGCGGCCCAGTCAAGAGTCAATCACTGCACTCAGCCACTGCATCTCTCTTGGCCTTGCCTGTCATCCTAGCAGTCCACAACTTTTTCTTTCTTTCGTGGTTTAGGAAGAGTCTAGGCTAATTGTCTCAAAATGTCCCGTATTTGCCGGACCGGACCCACATACCCTCAGGATTATACTCCAGCTAATTCCCTCTCCTCCAGACGGTCTCGAATTATTTCAATTACGGTCAAACATACACACTATAAACGGTGTCACTTGCACTGTTTCCAGGTGGACGACTCAGTGGCACAAGTACACGCACACACTGTGGGCGACTGTTTCCAGGGCTCTTCACTGCCCCCCACACGCTCTGTGCCCGGCAAGCCCGACTTCTCACCCACCCACCCACCCCCTCCCAAGTAACTCCCACTGGACTGCCTGCCCTCTGCTGTGTCTATTCTCGGCATTTCACATACACCGGAGCGCACAATATTGACCTTCCAGCGTCTGTCTGACTTATTCACTTGGTACCACGTGTCCAAGGTCCACCCACGTGGCCTCATGCCTCGCAGCTTCCTTCCCTGGGATGGTGGGCTCCTGTCCGGTGGAACGCTGAGCCTGCCTTTGGTTTCACCCTTCCTCTGCAGATGGACCCCTCTTGGCTATTCTGAGAGTCCTTTTCACGGAGACATGACCTGGCTCATGAGTCCTCAGTGTGGGCTCTTACGAGACCTTATGATCCTTACTGCTGAACTATGGGTACACCGGTTCTCCATTTCCTCCTCTGTGCTTGCAGCTGAGCTCCAAGTGGGCCTGCTGTGAGGCTGAGTTCTGGAAGAGGAGGGAGCTCGGAAGGCCACGGGCATGAAACCCAACAGATCCACTCGGCTTTATGTGCACACGGCTGGCTCTCTCAAGTGAAGAATCCTCTTCAAATTCTCTTTATCACTGAACAACCTGCCACCCTCAAAACAAACTACGAGAACACAGCAGGAGGAGACTCCCTGGCGCTTGGTGCTTGAGGACCAGTCCGCCCAGCAGCACGCTCCTGCCCTCCGAGAGCTCTAGTTTGCGGCTCCCTGCCAGCGTGTGGTGGTGGAGAGGGGAGCGGGGCAGGAAGGGGTGGGACTGGGCCAACACTCAGGTAGGAATGGGGCTGACTCCAGTGAGGAGACAAGCCCATCACCAGAGGGCTACTCAGGGCCAAGTCCCTGCCGCCATCTGTCCCTGACTTCATGCGCCTGAATGTGGGTACATAAAGTGACAGTGGCAGCGAGAAAGCCCACTTGGCCTGTTTCCGGGACAGCACTGTGCACTGGGTGGGTCCCAGTATTGCTGTACCTCAGGAAAGCCTGGGAGAGAGGCCCAAGTGTGGGTGTTTGTTTTCCACCCACCTAGGTGCCTCATATCAGAGGTTCTCAACCTGTGGGTCGAGACCCCTTTGGGGGTCGAAAGAACCTTTCATAGGGGTTGCCTAAGACTATCAGAAAACACATGTTTCCCATGGTCTTAGGAACCGAGACACTGCTTCTCTAGCCGTCTCCGCCCACGTGCAGATATGCCTACACACAAGTACCCGGCGTGAAGACTCTTCCCCATGCTACACCATGCTTCAAGACAAAATTTCATTTATTTGTAATTAGAAATAATTATTTCACAATATAGAATTACATAGTTTTTGTGATGAATCACTGTGCTTTAATGATCTTCAATTTGCAGCAATGAAAACACATCCGGCCTATCAGTTATTTACATGAAGATTTGTAACTGTAGCAAAATGATAGTGATGAAGTAGCAACGAAAATGATTTTATGGTTTTGGGGAGGGGGGGGTCACCACAACATGAGGAAATGTCTTAAAGGGCTGCAGCATTAGGATGGATGAGAACCACCGTTCTACGTGCAGCCTGGATTAACCCCAGGGGCACTGGGGTGGCAGTGCCTCTCCACCATGACCATGCTGTGGGCCATCATAGAACTTGCTGAAGGACATCTCTGAGCCTCCAGAGGCTCTCATTCACCAAATGTGGATGGAGCCTGGGAATCTGCATTTCTAACAAGGTCCCAGGGGCCACTGATGCTGAGGGTTTTGGGGACACATGCTGAGACCCTCCTCTGGCAGGACAGAGGATGGTGCATGCCAGCTAGAGATGTGGGTCCAGATACTAGCCCTGCCGCCATCTAGAGGTAAGAGAGCACAGTGCCAGACGAGGCCACAAGCCTGGCACATAGCAGGGCCCTCTCCGCCCCTGGCACATGCAGACCAGCAGAGGCCGGAAGCCCACCTGCAGCCCTCCGCCAGCCTGGCCGCCGGCTTACCTGCTGTGATGGAAAGACTTCAGCTTTGGCTGCAGCAGCACAAACAGCACCACCAGGAGGAGAATGAGCGCCACGGAGCTGGCCGTGGAGGCCACTATGGACAGTGTGGGGGCCCCAAGTGACCCGTGGGTATCTTTGTCTGTGGAAACAAACCGTCATCAGAAGCCTTTTCAACTCAGACACATGAACCCCGAGCCCCAAAGACCTCCTCAAATGGTCCTCCAGACGAGGCCACTTCCCCACCCTCTCCCTTCCGGCCTTTGAGATCCACTGCACCCGTGTACACTCACCGAACCCCAAGACCTCGACAGCAGGCTGCTGCTGGCTACGAGCCACTACAGGGCCCATCATTCCTACCCCCACCTGTGTTTGTCACCCTGTGGGGGGGATGTGGGGGGGATCATCTCTGACACCCGGCTGTTGGAGCCCCTGTCCTAAGGCCCTGGAGCTTTTGTTCTAAATCCAGGCTGGTTTCCATTCCAGGCCTTCATGTCACAGGCCCAAGTGTCACACACTGAGGTGACAGTACGCATGCTTCCCAGCAGCCACGCAGGACAGCAGAAGACGCAGGAGGGCGCGGTCTCTGCCCAGCTGGACCAGAGCTCCCAAACAGAGCGCCTGGCATTGCCATACAAGGAAAGCAAAGTCCAGACGCCGCACAAGGCTCCAACGCTGTGCTCCCCACGTGTTTCCCTGGAGCTGGTCAGGTCGCCAGCATTTGGCGAGGAAAACTGGAGACCCGGAGCTTCCATGGGACTTCACACAGCAGGGCAGATACCTCAGGAAACCCCGAGATGGTGCGGGGCTCCACGGAAACACAGCGGAGGGGCACATCCCTGCAACCCCAAGTGTCTTTCAGCACCGAACCAAAGGGGGAGAGGCTGCAGCCACTCGGCAGGCTCCCTTGCTTCCCAGCCAGGGCTCGGGCCACGCCCCCTGAGTGACAAACAGCACCCCGTTTCTGTTTCTGTCTGCTCCACTGACCCTCGTTGAGACGGCAGCTGATCTCCATGGCAGGTCTCCACTCGCCGTTTTTACACGTCAGGTACTTGTAATCGCCCTTCAACATGTAGCCTTCGGCACACAGGTACTCAATGACACTGCCCGACTCCAGGGGGTCTCTGCAGGGCCGGGGGTGACAGATGTAGCCACCATTCTCTGGCTCTGGGGGCCGGGGGCACACTGCAATGACAAAGAGGTACACCACCATTGGCTGATGATATCTCGAACCTATGCACATCCAGATATCATGTGACTTTAATTAAACACTCCCCAATCCATCATAATCCATAGCAAAAGGTAGTGAAATGCTGCTAACCTGTTACGAATGCTGATGGGTAGAAAGGTTTGCCTTTTAAAAAAAATGTCAATGCCACAGAGGGATTCCAGAGCATAAAAAAAAAAAAAAAAGTGCATTCTCTGCCATAGAGGAGATTTCCGATTTTCCCTTGGGAGGCTCCCACACTCTCTGAACTAGTTGCTGGCATACCTGACCCCACAGAAGACCTCATTTTCTACTCAGGCAGGGCTGTCAGGTGTAAAGCCATTTTACCTACACCATCATTTCCCCTTGAAGACAGGGCCCTAAAGGCAGGGTAAACAGTAGACTTGTGATCAAAGTCGGGTCTGATCTAAAACCCTGTTGCTCCTTCCACGAGCAGACAAGGTTCCGCCCCAAGGTTCCGCCCCAGGAGCCGAGTGGGCTGTGTGGGGTGTGAGTCTCAAAGTGGATCCTCCTCTTGAAACAGGCTGGTTAGGAAGAGGGGGCAGGAAGACTGCACAGAAGGGCCTTGGCCTAGTTAACAGCACTGAGAAATCAGAGTTGCTGTAAGGAATGAGTAGCCCCAGGGAGAAGGGAGGCTTCAGGTCCTGCAGCTCGCCCTCTGACCAAAGTCACACATTACGGGATTGAAGGCCCAGGCGCCCAGGCACCGGATTGCTGGGAATGTCCAGTCCCCACAGTAGGGACACAGTGGGGCCCTAAGGGACCACTGTTTGGCAACATCGGCAGGGGGAGAAGGGCAGGATGACGAGGCACCCACAAACGTCAACGTTCCCAAGACCTCGCTAATATAAAGACCAGGAGTTTTCAAAGGGAGCTGGGGATTGCTGACCAATATGCCCTCTGCAGCCCGGGCCCAGCCCGATCACAAGAGCATGCCTGTGAGAACAAGACCTGCCGTTTTCTTTTTCATTTCCTCTACGAGGCCTGGAATGAGCTGCCTCCCCTTCACAGGGCTGAGCGCTCCCTGGTGAGACGTGCCTCTTGCACCAAGGCCCACCTCCCCTGCCTCCTACAACTAGCCATGGAGCCAGAGGGCTGCCAGGGTGAAGAGGACCAGCGCAAGCAAAACTCGAAGCCCTCCTACCCTCAAGCGGCTTACATCCCAGATGGGAAAGCCTCCGCTAAAAGGGGGCTGGGAAGAAAGACTGTGACACAGAGTGGCAGAAGACCTCTGGGATCCGGCCAAGTCTGGGGAGTTTCTCTGAGACCGGTAGTTGGACCAAAGAAGTCCCCTCTGAGGACACATCGCCCACTTAGCCCAACGTCTTGAATGGGTGGGGCATGTGTGCGTGTGCGTGTACAAAGATTCCTTCTGGTAGTTCATTTAAACCATAACCAAGTCGTGCAAAGAGCTTGGTCCTTTTGCTTTCCCGCTTTTGTTCCAGGCAACGGGACTGCCACAAATCCCTTGACTGATCCCAGGAACCCACCCATACAGTAAGTGCTGAACGCCACAGGCAGCTCCTGGACCTCCTGGATGTAGGCGGGGCCCACATGTGTGAGTCTAGGGAAACAAATCCACAGAGACTCATATATATATGGAAGAGTTTTATATAAAGGGTAAATATATATATATATGGAAGAGTTGTCTATAAAGGGTAAGTGTACATTAGAAAGCATCCCAATCCCAGTGCTGTCCAAGCCCACAAATCCAACATTAGCCCATATGTCTGACACCAATCCACAAAGTCTTCAATCTCACAAAACACACACTATGATGCCGACTGCAAGAGGAAAGCTGAATCAGTGAGCGTGTGAGCATCTCAGCGCTGGCAGGGGTCTCCACAGGGCTGCTCCAGTACCCAGGGCTGCATTGGGGTAGGTCCATGTGGCTTCTCCTCAGGGCTGTCTTGCAGGACGTGAGCCTTGCCAGCTGAAGCAGGGAACTGGCTAAGGCAGCTGCATCCTGGTCAGACCATCAGAAAGCAAGAGACCCGAGGACTAGAGAGGTGAGGATCACTGAAGCCATTTATCCCTCTGCCTTTCAATTAACCCCACATGTGTTTATCGGCCAGGTTGGCACAATAAACCTTAACTATCTCACCACACATGGGGTCCCCAGGCTGGAAAAGATGGTCACAGAGGAAAGTCACTCCCCATGAAGCCCACCTGTACGCAGAATTTTCGAGAGGGACCCTGGAGCAGGTCATCTCAAACTCCCTGCCACTGAGTCAAGTCCGACTCCCAGTGACCTGTGAGAGGGAGTAGGACTGTCCCTGTGGATTCCCAACACTGTACATCTTTACACAGACAGAGAGCCTCATCCTTCTCCCTGGAGGGGCTGGTGGGTTTGAACAGCTCACCTAGGGTGAGCCACCCACCTTGTAACCCACTGTGCCACTCAGGCTCCTGGGACTCACGTTTACAGGTGGAAGAGGAGTGGTAGGAAGTGTCTGACAGCTCCACTTCATTTCTGTGGGATACAGACAGATTACTGCCCAGGTTGTCCCCCCATATTATATGTCAAACCTAAGACGCTGCTTGCTACACATGGTCAATTGACTCAACACTTGGAGGTCAACTGCTTAAAGATTATCTCCCTGAGGGTTATCAGCCATCTGGAGCAATCAGACTCTAGGGCCCACTCCCTTCTGATAAGGATAGTGGATTATTCCCTTGAAGGAGAGCCCAACGACAAGGTCAAGGTTAGGCTGCCATCTTGACTTTGGAGTCCACCCATGTTGTCACACGTATACCCCTTGTACCTCCCTTATTACATGTGTATCCCTACTGCCTCCCCTTCCTATTGTGTGTACATCCCTAGCTCGTCCCCCTACTATTGCATATATGCCTATGGTACAGCCCCTTCCTGTTCCACAAACGGTTATCTAGCATTAGGGGGGACTTGCACGCCCTTAAGTGTATATAAGCCGTGTTTAGAATATTCTCTCTCTGCATGGACCTGGCTGCTGAGATCACGGCCATCCGGGAGGTGAGCAATCGCTGCCCTATCTTGTCTGACATCTCTTTAATTTTACCCCTCAATTACACAACCACCCCTTGGACCCACTGGATTGTGGGGGCTGGTATACCACACCTCTCCATTCCATTAATACTCACATTGATTGATTACTGTGCTAGCCTCTGAAAAAGCATGAAAAGATAAACACTCCAAGTATCTGGGGCCAAACAGAGATGCGACGAATAAGCACATACAATTAAAAAAAAAGTGTCCTGTACGGCTTGGTTAAAGACCCTTCCCACTCCAAGGTTATGGGCATATTTGCCGTTATTTTCTTCTAATGTCTCATGGATCGGTGTTTTTGCTGTTTGAATATTTTCTGCAGAGGAAACAGATGAATTCCACACAAAATTCCAACAGTTAGCAATGTGGGCAGTAAGCAGCCAGCCCCCTTCGGCTCCACAGTGCTCCTCTCCTCTCCCAGAGTGCCCTGCATGGAAGTGTTTCTGATTCATGTCACAGGGTCGTTGAGCGCTCCAAAGAAGGAAGCTCAGGCTGGCGCTGTCCCACCTCGTGGGGGGAGATGAGGACAGTGCCTGGAGGAAGCCGAATTTCAGATGGCGTTTTGTTCATTGGGAAGGAAGGGATATGGGAGCTTGAGGAAAATGCACTGAAGCAGGAAAGTGTAAGGCTGGAGAAAATCAAGTAGCCTGGGTTGCAAAAACTATGGGAAAACTCAGCTTTAAAAAGCAGTTAGATAAAGTCGTATATACATATGACTTCACTGCCATATACACGCATGTATATGTATGTGTGTGTCCGTGTCTTTCGTACGAAAGGCAATGAAACGGTTTGTTGAGGCTCTTACACTCCATCCAAAGGGGCAGGGAAGACAGTGAGAAGGGCACCTCACAGGAAGATCTGAGTCCACAATGTGGACAGCAGCCACTGAGACCTCTAGATTGCTTCATCAGCATAGGCCTTGCAGCGTGATAAAATAGAGTCGGTGCAAAAAAACCCTTTGATGTTCATCTACCCCATTGTCACAGTGGAAGCGAGCTGGCCTACGTCAGGGTCAGCACTGCTACGAGGCTGGCCCCGCTTCAAGGCCAGTTCCCTCCTCAGAAAAAGGCAAGGTCATGGGAGACCTGGTGGTGACAGGAGGGGGTGCTAACTGCAGGCTGAGCAGCTGGAGGCCCAGGACGGGGCTTTCTACTCCTGTGCAGAGCTGCCGTCTCAGCAATGACAGGACCGCTCTACCCTCTCCTGAGTTGGCATTGACTTGATGAAAATGAGTTTGGTTGTGCTGGCACTGTTGGATCAAGTGTGGGACTGCTAACCACGAGGTCAGACGTTCAAAACCACTGCCTGCTCCTGTTAAAAACTTAGAAGCCCATTTATAGTGTCACTATGCGTTGAAATCAAATCGATGACAGTGAGTCTTGTTGGAGATTTAGTTTTAACACCACCATACAGAGCAGACCCTCCCCAGCCAAGACTCTCCAGGAGGGACATCAAGGTCAACATGACCATGCCCTCAAACTTTTAGCTTATCGTCTAGAGAGGACACAAGTCAGCCTGACCATGTTTCTAGTTCTCAGTGGTCCTGTGGGTCCACTGTGGGTCCTTGGTGAAGAGTCTGAGGGTTAAGTCCAGGGAAGGGGTGGGCAGTGGGTTAAGGGGCAGATGGAGAGAAGCTAGGCATTTAGCACAGAGGTCTCTCAAGGGTGCTTGGAAAAGCACTGTGAATGTGCCTGCTCCCAAACCCCTCTTGAAAGATGGAAGGCCCCATTCCTCCTTGTCCTCAGGGCTTTGTTAGGAGCTGGATTCAATTCTCTAAGAGCTTCTCAAGGGCCTCTTCTGTCCATGGCTCGCCCTGGCTTTCTGCCTTCCGGAATCCCACTCACATGGTCCAAAGTCTGAGGGAAGAAGGACGATTTCTCATGCCATCTGCAACCTTCCTCTCCTATGAGACAAACCTTCCCAGCAGTCAGA